TATTCTGTTATTCATTGGTTACAAAAATTTTTGAAAAATCGAAAAATATCGAGACTTTTTTTTCGATATTTTTCGGTTTCGATATTTTTCGATATTTATCGAAAAAATATCGACCGAGAAAATTTTGACTTTTTCGATATTTTTTGATATTCGATATTTTTCGATATCTATCGAAAAATATCGACCGACCTCTTAGCCGGGCTCTAATCAAAACCAAACTCCTTTATGCTTATTTACGTTAAAATTTTTGTAAATAAAACTTTTTTATTGATATAACTATTTGCCGATTTTATTCTAATTGAATGACTCTACAAATGACTGGTCCTTTTTACATGCAAACTTCATACCAGATGTGGGTCGGAACAGACAGAGTGTCGGAAATCGGAAGAGTCTGAACTCAAAAATATAAAACTCAATTGAGAACAATAATCGAAAAAATCCAAAAACGCTTCAAAAAATAAAATTCAAAAAATCCTCAAAATGGAAAAAAGAAAAATAAATCATAAAATTTAAAACCCCAAAAACGACCAAAATTAAGTAAAATTTTTGGTGCCAAACAATAGAAATTTGTTTCAAATATAGTAAAGATATACCGGTCCGAACATTAAACGTGTCAAAAAACATTTTTATTACAATGTTTATTTTGCCATAACTTTATTCAATGTCATCCCATCCCGATAATTTTGGTACCTTTCGACTCGTCTCGGTGAGTTGCATCGAAATAGCTCATAACTTTATTTTTATAAATTCAACAGGTAAAATTGTCATTCAATGATCTATATCTTAGCTCAAGAAGAAAGAAATTGCCTAATTATAAAGCCATTCGAATCAGAAAAAAGAGCTTATTCGAATGATATAAACTTTTCTTTTAATTCAGACGGCTTTGGCCCAAAAAATGTTGTCTGAAATCTATGAAAAAATTCTCAATTTATTTATAAAATTTAGAGAATCTTTTTATATAAAAAATTTTCTTAGTGTGTTGGGACTAAGAAAATGCATTAATGAAAGGAAGCTTATGAAAAGGATGCTAATAATGAACTAACACAGAAACGAGAAGGGAATTTTGTTAAAGAAAGCAAAAAATTCGAGCATTAAAAATAATTGAAAATTGATAACAATTGTTGTATTATTTTATAACCATTTTTATCCATTTATCGTTGGTTGTATTCCGACTTCCCCAGGGCCGCTTTTCGATCTATAATATAAAAGTTAAATGAATTTTAAGGCAAAATCAACCATCATCTCTCGTATTTTTAGTTGATTTCTTTATTCTTTGCTGTTTATGGTAACAAGCAGCACATAAATATTGTCCTTGTTTTGAATAACGGTACCAATGTGATGTATCAGTAACATCGCAAATAGAACAATTACGATCTTTCGGTGGCGTCTAAATATTTATAAGGAAATGTATGTAAACAGATAAAAGTTTCCTTGCGCAAAAAGATTTATTAATTACTTTGTTCATACACATTTACGAAAATATTATTTTTTAAAGCGAGATCAAATGTTGGTTTATTCAAAACGGTGTTAGTAGGAACGAGCAGTCAGGATATACTTTGTGTAACCCTGCAAAATACATTTACGATAGTGCTTAAATTACTTAATGAGTTAGAAATTAGTGATCTAACGGTAGTAATAGCGATCTAACGGGAAAACAACTTTCAATAAGTTCAGAATCGAGTAAAAGATAAATTTAAAGAGTTTCAGAATAAGAATTTTTAAAAATCGTAATAAATATTAATAAAGCTAACCTTTATAGTCTCAAACCATAATTCCTGTAATCTAAACCTTCCATATTTGTGTTTATATTTGCCACATTGATCACATAAGTAATGTTCTTTTAAGACAATATGCCAATGTTTTGATTGTTTAACTCTACAATTGCAACACTTGCGTTTATTTACTTCAATTGTTCCACCTATAATTATCAAGAAAAATTTTTTAGTCATATGAAAAGATAGATAAATTTATAAATTTATTTACTTATTTTATTGCCAATATAAATAATTCTACTTTTTAATTCTTTTGAAAATTCAAATTTTTGTTTTACTAACAATTCTATTTTATATCCAATTAAATTAATTTCAGTCCAATAACTTGATAAAAGTTTGTTTTTGTAATTTTCTATATTTTCTTTTAATAATTCTTTTTTATTTATTTTTGTATGTTCTAAACTCTCATCTAATATAGAAGTTGCATAATGATTATTATTTGTCATAATAAAATTATTATATCGGAGCACCTTTTATGAATAAATTTATAATTTAAATTTAATTGCTAATAGTTAATTACTCTTTTGTGTTTTGCCTTAATTTTTCAAATAATAAAATTAAGAACCTGTTTATTAAACCCAATCAAAATATTTTTAATAATTTTATTATTAGCAATATTGATCAAAACTTTCTTATTTAATTCGTCAGCATATTCTGATCTATCAGATATCTCAACATTATAATTATTTCCTTTACTGTTTAATTCAATTCGATGCAAAAATCCCTCAATATTATAACTATAGCTCATATCATACTTATTATTATTTTTATCAATTTTCTCCAATACAAATCTTTCTTCTAATTCAACATTTTTTAAATAAATAAATTTTCTTTTTTCTTCCCAATCATCTTTGATTTTTACTACAATACTAACTTTTCCCCCATCACATCTAATATTCAATAAGGAAAGTAAATAAAAGCAAAAAGCAAATATCAATTTAATCATCAGAATTTTAATATAAGATATAGTTATTCTTTATTAAAATCCCTAATTTAATAAAAACGAGAGAATAATTACTGAAATAATGTTTAAAAGACTTTAGGGATGTAATTGTAATTATTGTTTTTAGTGTCTTGTTAGTAGGTTAGATTTTTAGGAATTGAAATTTGAATATACAAAAAATAGCTCATTCGAAGAGTTCATCGAAACGAGTTTCAGCGCCGCCCTTATGTGGGCGGTTAAAAAATTGTCATAAATTTTTACAATCAAATCAGATTTAATTTTAAATTTACTTAATTTTTATAATTAATGGGTTGGGCAAGTCTTAAAATGTTTTTCCCAATTTTTTACCTGTTGTTTAAATGAGATTTATAAAATATTACTTAATAAAAATTAATAAAATATTTTTTCAAAGTAAATAATTGGGAAATCTATACATGTATCTAGCAATTGAGCCAAACTGATAAATTGAGTAATCCTATCGTCAAAAGCATTTGATTATTAAAGTGCATATATATAATTATGTAATGTTTTATGAAAGAAAAATATAAAAGGCTCAAACAATTTTGAAAGAATTTGCTTTTTTTGCACTTGAATTTTATTAAATTTATATAAAACTTTTATAAAAACTAAAAAACCATTTCTACATAATTATGATTCCGTGATATACAGTGGCGGAAATTTAAATAGGGAAAGGGTAAACTCTATGTAATTCCGTTCATCTTTATCCGATCTGGCAGATCTAAATTTTAAAAAATAGCTTAATTCATATCTCAGTTGACATGTTTCAGCGTTTTTCAAAATTCTGATAATTTCGAAAACTTTTCGACCGGTCTAACGAGTACTACATTTTCAACTTTTCGGAGAAATTTTTTTGAAGTCTGTGAATTTTATATGTAATTCTCCTAAAGATTCTGAATACAATGCAAGAAACCGCATCCAAATCGGTCGGGATTCTACCGAGTTATGAATTTTTGAAAATCGAAAAAACACCCATTTTTGCCCTTATTTGTCGATTTTTTGTTGTTTTTTCGATTTTCAAAAATTCATAACTCGGTAGAATCCCGACCGATTTGGATGCGGTTTCTTGCATTGTATTCAGAATCTTTAGGAGAATCAAAAATAAAATTCACAGACTTCAAAAAAATTTCTCCGAAAAGTTGAAAAAGTAATACCTGTTAGACCGGTCGAAAAGATTTCGAAAATATCGGAATTTCGAAAAACGCTGAAACATGTCAACTGAGCTATGATTTAAGCTATTTTTTAAAATTTAGATCTGCCAGATCGGATAAAGATGAACGGAATTACATAGAATTTACCCTTTCCCTATTTAAATTTCCGCCACTGTAAGTATATTTTAACTGAATTAATAAATTTACGGATTGTTTAAAATTTCTTTGGATTATAACTGTCATTATAATTACCATTATATTTATTGTCATTCATCTTATTAATAATTTTTCTAGTTGTAGAAAAATAATTAAGAATAGATATTTTAATTAAGAATATATTGTTGAACTTTAATCTGATAGACTGCATGATTTGAAGCAGATTTTTGTCTTTTCCAGAGCTGCCTACAAAAATTAAAATTCTGGGAAGGAAAGACCTATCATCATCCTTCTTCAGGCCACTGAAATAAATTCCCGTAAATCCAATGAACATTCGAAGTTAATGTTAGTTTATATTAAATGTTTCACGGTGTCAGAGTTTTTTCTACTCAATTATTTATATTTGCACTTTTATAGACGAATGTTTGGCAAGCAAATGAATGCTTAATAGTTTTATTTTAGATCAGTTGACATTAGGACTTCTCTATATCTTTAATATTTATATCAGGGGTGGGCGCATTGCGTTTTGCGTATTGCGTTATTTAATATAAAACTAATCAATAAAACAATACAAACTAATCTGAGGCCTGCGCTTCAGGCAAAAATTTTTGAGAATTTTACAAGGTCAAGGAGATGTATCTCTTTAATTTTTGTCCTCAGATTAGTTGTATTTTTGCTTAAAAATAACGCAGCACGCAAAACGCAACGCAAGGCCAAAATTTAACGCAAATAACGCAATGCGCCCACCCCTGGTACACATGCCTAATCATTGACCGTACAATAGAGAAGGGATTTTTTACTTTACGTTATCAGTATGGAGTGTACAAACATGCAAATGCATATTTTGCATGCGGATATGCCATGAACTGAAATGCTCAAAATTGCTACACTAAAATATAGCCGCATATTTAACACTTAAACATATTTAATATCCAATCAATTTTATTTTAAAAAATTTATTCAAAAAATATAGTAAATAATCAAAGTTAGTAGAGTCAAAGCTAACATATTATTTTCGTTCTTATTTATTTGTGCAGCTGATTTTGAAGAAAAACGATTTGTTGTGCCTTTAATAAAATTAGTAGGTTCCTTTGTAGTCGATGCTGAGGTGATTGTGGAAGGTACCAGACTAATTGTTTTCGTTTCAGCCGTTGTTTCTGATAGGGGAAGTAAAGAGTCCTCATTACACAAATCAGTGTGGTTACACGTTATACAATCTTTGAATTTGACAGGGCATTCTCCACAGTTTTGCTCAGCTTAAAATTAAATTTTCAAATCGAAAAAGTTGGGAAAAGTCCGAAAAATTCTATAGAAGAATGATTTATTTAAAATTTTCCTACTCCTCCAGAAGATGTCCCTAGCAATGTAACAACTGTCATAAGAGGGATGGCATGTCTTAGCTTTTCTCTCATTTGGCCGTTGATTAGTAGCAAGTTGGTAACACTTAATTTGAGAAAGTTTTGTTTCATCATTACAGAGAGGAATTGAGCAATTAAAACATTTATCCAGATTATTTTGTCCAGAACATTTGCCACAACCTTGTACTATACCTTAAAAATGGGGCACAGATAACCGACAAATACCAAAAATTTTAATTTACCCTTTTCTCCTTTATTAATCCCAACAAAGCATAATCCTTTCTTACAAACTCTTTTTCCTTTCGTTGCTGTCCATTTGTTTAATTCTTTTTCCCAACAAAACAAATGACTTGCAAAAAATGTATCTGCATTACAAGCTGGTTTATTGTTACATTGGGCGCATTGAACATTACTCATATTTATTTTCTTTATTTTGTTTTGGAGTGTTGTATCTTTAGTTTTGATGTAGGGAGAAAGATTGAGAATGCCTGATGGACATTTTCCACAATCATAGTGGAATTGGTCTATCTTCTCTTCTAAATATTAAGGTTTATATTGAAGAAAGCCTGCCCTTAGAGTTCGGAGGTTTCGGGATCTGAGTGACAGCATGGGTAGTGTCGGGGAAAAACCAAGAGTCAGAAATCCTCTTCTTTTAGAATCGAGAAAATGGCAAAACTCTTTTTTAGCATAGGAAACGAAAATTTTTGAGTTTCTAGAGATAGTGGTTTGCCGGTATGGCCTTCTGGTTCAGCTCGGACAATGTTTGTGAGATGGAGTGTTACCCTAGTTTAAAGAGAAACATGTATGTATACAAACACACCTCCATTCTTCTCTTCAATTTTAGCAATATAACAGTCAGATTTATTACAATTACTATAACTATTCATAAAACCAAAGCAATAGAAAGGATCTTGATTATTACAAAGATGGTCATTACATTCTTCACATGTATGGAAAGGGCACTTTCCACATCCTTTTTTAACTTTAAAAATTTTTTTAAATTTTAAAGTTAAATTGAATTAAAACCCTCATTTGTTGATGTTCTCAATATATAACAAGGATTTTTGGTTTTACACTTTTCATTTTTATTTGTCCAACAAAGCTTGGCAACCTTGTCTTCAGTGTTACAATAACGCTCTTTACATGCAATACAGTCAATTTTCTCGTCCTTTAAACACTTTCCACATTTTTGTGTTACTAAGAAAATAATAATTTAATTCTCAAAAGGTCAGACCTCACTATAAGTTGTCAACTTGGGTCGTCAACAGTCAAATCTTATAACTTGGGGATATAACTTGGGATATAGCTTAACTTAGGGATATCATTTAGGCAGCTTCTTTTCTCCGTCCAGTGGCTAACTACATTGGAAACGTCCCTTAAATAGAGGGTTATCCACTAGATTGAGTTGTTGATGTTTCAAGGTATATGAGAATAAATTTAAATTAATTGCCTACCATTCCCAGTTGTAAAATTCCTCGAAACAAAACATTTATCTCGACAAACTCTTGCCCCTTTAATTATGTTTGTGTCATTCTCCGACTTCTCAAAACAAAACATTTGTTTCTCTAAAAACTTTTCAGTATTACACAAAGGACCATTATTGCATTCTGCACATTGAATTCCACTTAAATTTGTTTCAACCAATCTTTTGGAAAGGGACACATTAGATGTATTTTTAAAGAATTCGTTGTTAACTGGACACTTTCCACAGTCGTAATAGAATTCATTAAGATTCTTGACTGAAAAATGAAAGCTTTATAGTAAGAGCGAGAAAAGTTTAATCCGGACGGCATCGATCCTGCGCCTTCCTGGAAGATTTTACAAGCGCCTTTGCTCAGGTGCTCAACATAGCAATGAGCTAACCACCTTTTTAAATAAATCTTGAACCCCATGAACCTTCTGAGCATTATAGATGCTTCCCTGCTTTATCTCCCTCCTTCTTACAGTACTTACATTTATAATTTTTATATTTATTAGCTTTTCGATTGAGTTTTCCGCCTTCATAAGTAAGAATATCCCTCGCCTATTTGTTTCAACATTATCAGCCCCTATATTATGAATTAATAGACACCGAAATATAGCTTAATTAATATTACCTTTATTATTATTATTCAATTTTAAGATGTAACAGTCATTTTTACGGCATTCTTTAACTCCATTAATTCCTTCAACACCTTTACAATAATAAGTATCAGTCCAATTATTACACCGATTATCTTGACATTCTCTACATGATGAAGAATTACACTTTCCACATCCTCTGTTTTCTTTAATAATATTTTTAAAAAAATTTTAAATTTATTTAGTTAATGCCTGTATTATTCTGTATTCTCTCCACAAAACAAGGAGTTTCAAAGGAAGTTTTACATATAGTCCCATTGTTACCCAAACATTGTTTTGGAACAAGACTTTCTTTATTGCAATATTTTGCGTTACATTCTACGCAATCTGGAGTATTAGCTGGACATTTGCCACAGTCTTGTTTAACTAAAAATTTGGTTAAGAGAGAGGTAGACAAACATTTGCGCATATACATTTGTGGACAATCAGGTACAGAAATGGTAGTCTCTTCGGCTTTAGCAAAATATGGCTACTGGGTCATTGATACTTATTAGGGTTTAACGAATACGAATATTATGCCAACTGATCATCATTACCCAATGTCCCGTAGCAGTTCAAAAAGTTCTCACGTTTCAGTCCAATCGGTTCAGCCCCTTATATCTTCTTTAATTCATTTCCAATGGAAGGATATAGAGGGAATAGTGTATTTATAGTATTAACAGAAATATCGTGGGATTAAGCTTGATACCAAGTATTTGGGTGGAGGAAATCCGCAAATGTCTTCCTTATTTTCATTCTCAAACCTTTTCCATTATTGTCTCTCAATACAAAACATGAATCTTTACAAACTCTCTTCATGCCAACAGGTTTAGACATATTTTCAGTCTTCCATAAACAAAACTTTGAATTGTTGATAAATTCCTCAGTGTTACACAATGGACCAGTATCACAGTCAACACACTTATTTTCAGGGTGTGAGATATCACATTTGCCACAGCCGTAATCAAATACTAAAATTTATTATATTTATCTTGATTGAAGCTAAACATACATATTTGGAGCCAATGTTAAGTCTCTTTTTTCAGAGGAAGAAATGTCTTATCTTAACGGCATTGAGCACTTTCTATTTTGATAAATAATTTCTAATCTATCATTAATTTAGGCTTTCTTAAATTATTGTGGTGACTGATCAGATTCTAATTCTAACATTGATTTCTTTTGCCTACATTTCCGATATCCGATGTAAACTTTTGAAACTTTGAAAACAAACCCGAAAAATGCCTCGACCGTCGGCCCGACTCGAAAATTATTGAATTTACCTAGTGAATTTACCTTTTTCACTTTCATCAACTGGAGCAATGAAACAACTCGTTTCTTTGCATTGCTGATTCCCATTCTTTGATCTACAAATGGTTTTAAAATCATAGTTAAGGTTGCACATATTTGTGTTGCAGATTACACAGGCTGGACTAGGACACTTACCACAGCCCCTTACAGCTGGAATATAAATTAAAATTGAAAAAATTTAAATTTTCGTTAAAATCCCTGCCTTTATTATTTTCTCTAATCTCAAAATAACAATCTTCTCCATGTTTAATACCGCAATAATTAGATTGTTTATCGTTATCTAGTCGACATTTTTTATAAACATTTTTTTCTTCGTTGCAATAATTCTTTTTGCAAGCATAACAATAATTAGAATCCTTTCCTTTGCAATTTCCACAGCCTTGCTCCACTTAATATTAATTTTAACATTTTAAACTTTCATTTATCACATACGATTTCCTTTCATATCTCTAAATACATAACATTCCTGATTACATTGTCTTATTCCCTTAAAGAATTTCTCCTCTCTTATACTTTTATTCAAACAAAATAAAGTTTTGTCAAATAATTCTTTTGTATTGCACAATAGTTTTCCACATACAGCAAATTGAATATTCTTAATTTCTTTAGGTGTATCTCCACAGCCTTGCTCAACTAAAAGTTTGTTATTTTGAAGAATTAGAAGTTTCGTTCTTAATTCTTTGATAATCTTTTGTATTTAAAATTACCAATTTTATTGTCATAAGATATAAAACATTTCTTCAACAAACATGGCCTTTTCCCTTCTTTTACATTTCCATTTTTCAGTTTTTCATAACAAAAAACTGTTTTAGCCAACAATTCTTTCGAGTTACATTTTAAATCTTTACAATCAACGCATGACTTTTCAATTTTCTTTTCATCACAAGTTCCGCATCCACCTTTTGAATCTGAATTTTGGATTTTAGTTAGTGTTTAGTTACGACTAGGATTAGAGTAAAGATAGGTAAATTTCCTTCAATGATCTTAACAATAAATTCTTTCCCAATGATAAAATAGTTATGTGCACCTTTAGAAATAAAACATTCTGGGTTTTCACATTCTTTTAAACTTCTTCCATCATTATCCAAACAATAATATGTAAATTTATCCCCAGCATTGCACAAGTTTCCTGTACAGTCTTTGCACGTAGTAGAATCACATTTACCGCAACCCTTGTTTACTTAAGATATATCTTATTAGATCTTCAACCTTAGATCAATCAAACGTTATGAGATCCCGAATAATTAGTCCCAAAAATCCCGCAAGTTGAAAAAGAGCCGTGACGTTATAACGGATCCCTGAAAATTCTGTACATATCACGTCTCATGCCTATCCCATTATTAAAGATAATTTCTTCTGAATCAAGTTTGTCTATTAATAACAGACCTGGTCATGGATACGGATATGGATATAGATAATACCAAAATGCCTGCGGATATCCGTCTGTATCCGCCGTAAATATCCGGATACGGATACTAAAATCAGTATCTATGTCCAGGTCTGATTAATAATGAGCTCAATATCCTCCCTCAGTCAATATTTATGTTTAGGCTAGTTCAAATAAGTGAGTGTATCAAGTAAATACTTATTATCTCGAACTTTTATTATTTTGCATTCTCTCAGTAAAACATTTTGCCCCATGTTCTTTTGTACATGTTTTCCCGTTATTTTCCCAGCATAATTCCGGGACTATCTTTTCTTCATTACAATATTTAGTTTTACAAATTTTGCAAACTTTTTCTGTGTTGGATGGACATTTACCACAACCTTGTTCTACTAAAATTATTTTTGAATTTCTCAATTATTAAAAATATTTCCATACGTTTTCCATCCCCATGTCTATAAACAAAACATTCTTGATCACATTTATTTATTCCTTTATTATTTTCTGAATCATCTTTTCTTTTATTTAAACAAATTAATGAATTGTCAAATAATTCTTTTGTATTGCATATTTGTTTATCACATATAACTAACGGTACATCTTTTAAATTAGCAGGTCTTGTATT